CACACACACACACACACACACACACACACACACACACACACACACACACACACACACACACACACACACACACACACACACACACACACACACACACACACACACACACACGCACACACACGCACACATGCACACACACACACATGCACACATACACACACACACACACACACGCACACAAACCGACTGAATATTTTCATATCATAGAAAGGTATGTGAATATGATCAGACTGGAAAGCAAATGTTATTGTTGCGTTTCGCAACTTTATTGTTCAACACTTTTCAGCACCTACAATGAATGACCATAAATCTTAATTTGAAATCTGGCAAAAAGCGAACGCAAAAGGAAAAACTTAAGGAACTCATTCGTTTTCTTTACGTATATATTTTTAATGGAGGGCAGAAGAAATCAAGTTTATTTTTATTCGGCAATATTTGAATCGTGAAAAGGTCGTAAAACGTTAAAAGATCGTGAAAGGGTTGTAAACAGATCGTGAAAAGATCGTTTAAAGGTTGTGAAAAGGTCGTGAAAAGATCGCGAACCATCACGTCTTGTTGTCGCAGTGCAGCAGCTCGAGTCTGAGCGCGATCCTGTGCTGCCAGTCCTGCGGCGAGACTCGGATGTAGCGGGCCCGGACGGGCGACTCCAGCTGGTTCTGAACCGGATCACGACCGTTAGAGTTGCCGGAGAACAACTGTGAAAAAAACACACCAAAAACTAGAGATTGAAGTAACATTTGCAAAGCAAATGCATAATGTTTACCTTCGGACATGGTCTGCTCTGTTAATTCTTACTCAAACACATTCACATGCATGTACTACTAGTATATGGTGACAGGAGCAGAGCAGACCATGAAATTGCAACATTATGTAACCAAACACCAGTCACCATGGTGACAGACGTCAACAAATCATTTCATTGGTCTGGTCATAGGTCACTGTTTGGAAAAGAAGAAGAGGAAGAAACGGAACAAAAACAATAAAGAAACAGGCAGTAATGATTTTCAAATTTACTTTTGCAATTAGTTTCTAAGGCTGAATGGTGTTGATCCAGTAGTCTCCCGTCTGTACGACAGCTTGTAGAAAGTCTGTGGCGCCCCCCGTCTTATACTACAATTGTTGAATCCTGACTCACCATTTCCGGCGCAGTGCTGTTGGAGTATGTTATCCAGTAGTAGTCTTCAGTAAGGCTGTACGACAGCTTGTAGAAAGTCTGTGGCGCCCCCCGTCTTATACTACAATTGTTGAGTCTAGACTCACCATTTCCGGCGCAGTGACGTTGGAGTAAGTTATCCAATAATCTCCCGTCAGGCTGTAGGACAGCTTGTAGAAAGTCTGTGGCGCCCCCCGTCTACCTTACACAAGAGTACCGGGTTCTAGACTCACCATTTCTGGCGCAGTGACGTTGGAGTAAGTTATCCAGTAGTAGTCTCCAGTCAGGCTGTAAGCCAGCTTGTAGAAAGTCTGTGGCGCCCCCCGTCTACCTTACACAAGAGTACTGGGCTCTAGACTCACCATTTCCGGCGCAGTGACGTTGGAATAAGTTATCCAGTAATCTCCCGTCAGGCTGTAGGACAGCTTGTATGACGTCACGAACCCCGGGTTAGCCTCGTCATCTGACCCCTGGGTCACCACCCCGCCTACCACAAGGTCACGCCCAAGGTCAACCTGCAGGGATGTCAAGAACAAAACTCTCAATCTCTCGCTCTCTCTCTGTCTCTCTCTCTCCCTGTCTAATTCTTATTGTTAGACTGAGAGAGAGAGAGAGAGAGAATGAGGGAGACAGAGAGAGAGAGAGGAAGGAAGATTAGATGAATGGATGCATAGATAAATGGATAGATGAATTGATGGATAGATGGATCATCATCATCAACTGTATTCTGCGTCTACAGTCGTATGGATAGATTGATGGATGGAAGGATAAATGGAGCAAAATCCAAAATCATATCCAGTGGCTTGATTAACTGTTTTCGGCGTAGATAGATGATGAGGATAAATGGATGAATAGATAGGTGGCTAGATAGGTAGATACATGAATGGACATTCTTGATATTCCCAATTGAAGAACTACGGTGCTTGTTAGTCCTTATATCGTTATCCCAACTTAAGGCTATTGTGTGGAGGGTGTGCATGCGGTTACAGAAGTACCTGTATCCACTGCTCCCTGTCCTGCCGTTCCGGCACCCAGGCGCCTTCTCCCCCGGACACAGCCTTGTAGTTGAGCCTGCCTCGGCTCGCCTCTGCTTCCTGGTTGGCGGAGGACGCCGTCAGCTGTTCGGCGGGAATCTTCTGCAGTGTGTCGTCCACTCCGACAGGCGCTAGGCGACAGCCTGGGAAACACACATAAAACTATCCTCCATAGCATGCCAAAAACTGGGGGTTTGGGGGGTCTTCAGGGTCTTTGGGAGCTTTTATGTGCTATTTGCCGATTGCATATAGACAACATAGCCGGCCTGGTTGAATTACCCCCGTTTTTTTAGAACTGGGCTAATCAGAAAACAGCCGAAGACCACCAAACCCCCAGTTCTATAAGCCTGCTACGGAGGCTACATAAAACATGGTAACCACTGCTGTAGCAGACACCCCGGCGGTGTTGGATTACATTATGTAACAAGTGGCAGGCCGGCGAATTTCTTCCGTAGCGTGTCGTCCACTCCGAACAGCCTGGGACACACAAAAAAACTATCACAGATGTCCCACTGCTTGGAGAGTCATACAACAATACAATAAACTATCATTTACACATGTGCCGGTTAATTTGTTATGTTTGCGTTCGCAGAAGGAAAACGTGTCATTTTGCTCTGCTTCTTCTTCTTCTTCTCCGGACAAACAAGACCTTCGTCTTCCCAAGATAGACCTTCCCACATACCAAATATCATCACAACTCATTAGAAAAGAAAAATGGAATACAAAGAAAAATTTAAGGTGAAATAACAATACATGTATTTTTGTGTTAAGGTAAAATAACAGTTCTTATGATTTAATAATCACATTCTATAATTTGATTACTGTAGATTCAATCATTGTGTAGTTGACTGAAATATTGACCTTGATCTATGACCCCGTCTCCTCCTCCTTCTGCATCCAAGTTCCCCACAAGGTCAGCGTACGCGTCCTTCAAGACGTCATCGTCAAAGTTATAGTGATCGAACGTGTCGGAGGCGTACTTCCTGACGGGAATACTGGCGGTCCAGAGGTAGATCACCAGCAGCATGGCACCTGTAACGGTTAGGACTTGTGTAATCTGTAAGTGATTATGGGGAGATATGCATACATTAGCGCGCTAGGTAGGCCCAGGACTCTTATCATTGTATTTTTAAAAATGTATGTATATCATTGCACCATTGTATATTATTGTATATTTCACCAAGTATGTAATTTGTAAATTGTCGTATGCATTCAATGTATGTCTAATAATTTTCATCTTCCCCCCAGGGTGTCCCTTAGCAATAGTCTTCGACTAGTTGGGACACCCTCGCTGGCTTCTTTGTAAGCCAAATAAATAAATAAAGAACTAGATAAACTAGAGTTCCCCGATCTCATACCTTCGCCAAATGATGTTAATCTTTATGACTGACAAATTATAGATTAGATTATTCCCCCAATTTAAGAAATAGGAACCTAATTTTCTTGAATTATATCATTTTATCATAATCTCAACCAAAAACAGTCTTATATTAACAAACAATGCATTCTAGCATTTCCTAATAAATTATGCAAATGAGGTCCTGATTTGAATAAATTATGTTTAATGATGTTCACCTCAATTTAACTTTCAAATACCACAAGTATGAAATTCCAGGCAGTTATCATTACATAATTATAAAATTTTCTCATTAATTATGCAAATTAGGTCATTATTAACATAATCAATATCTTCCTGTGTTTCTCTCGTTGTCAATTACCAATGTCACAAGCTTTAATTGTCCTATCATGGAATGCAGCTGATTTATAGAATTTCCCCATACATTATGCAAATTATATCCATATTTGCATAATTGTCACATAATTATATGAAGCATCACGTAAGCTACCTACATACCAAAAATCACGACGATCCGTCAACCGGTTCTTGAGTTATCCCCTTTTGAATATTTTCAAGAATATATCGCTGCAGTTCCAGAGCAAGCCGCTAGGGGGCCTAAACTCACATCACTTCTTCCACAGCACAAGAGCTACCTACCATCTAAATTTTATCACCATAGCATGTCTAGATCATGAGATATCAAAACCGGAAGTTCAGCTGCAGTACCATAACAAGCCGCTAGGGAGTCCAAAATCTAATCATTTTGAGGTCTCATCAAGACCTACCCACCTACCAAGTATCAAGACAATCCATCAAGGCCTTCTCAAGTTATCGTGTTGACAGACACACACACACACACACACATACACGAACGCCCCTGAAAACATAACCTTCTTGGCGAAGGTAAAAATATGTAGGCCCTGATTGGGTAGTGAGAGTAACCTATCAGATGAAGGACTAGTGCTTGGAAGTTGTAGCGCTGATGATATATACCAATGATATATAGTAAGATACCAAACTATAACCCACCTAGCAGCAGCACGAACGCCCCTCCCGTCAGCATGTCCTGTGCGCGCCCGGCGTGGACCTTCAGTCGGAACATGGCTCTGATTCTCTCAGAGTTCTCCGTCTTTGACTGAGATGTGCTTTGTGGAAGTCCAACAGACCAGATCCCAACTACCCTACAGCTACGCGTTTGGGTGGTGTAAAAAATACCAGTACAGAAAAAACACGATAAAACGTCAAAAACACGTAAAAAATAAGCTGAAGCTCAAACCTCGGCATGGACTGTCAGTCGGAACATGGTTCTGATTCTCTCAGAGTTCTCAGTCTTTGCGATGTGTTTTGTGAAAGTGGCAGATCAGATCCGGGCTGCCAGTGAACTACAGCCGATGTCGTGTTGCTATCTGCACCCTCCCCGCCATTATTCAGATACTAGTGTTTACCTGTACGAGTCACCTGATGAAAGTTGTTGATCAAGTTTTACCTGTTTCTGAAGGACTGACCTTATCAGAGTTGACTCCAAGCAGATCTTTTGGTCGCCGCAAAGACAGTATCGAATTAACAAGGCGGTCCCATCAAATTAGCAAAGTGTTAATTTGCCACCCGAAATGACCTGAGAAAAATGATACAGTACGAAAAGAAAGCCCGTTAAAAATGCGTGAAAACACGTCAAAAAATAAGCCGAGGCCCCAATCTCTGCTTGGAGAATTCTTTGGATAAACCACGAAGTCCTAACTTACGAAATTACGGAATCTTGCATCCAAGGCTGGACATTTTAACACGTAAATTCGTACAAAGTTCCTTTTAGCATACGTAGCCTATATTTACGGATATGGTCTTTTCATGCTTTTGTTTTCAAACAATTTGAAAGAGACACCCGAGGCAGATGTTATTATTCTAATTGTGTGCTGTCACAAATCCATAAGGTTTGTCCTTACAATATATTTTCATTGCAATTTCTTAGCACTTTTTTTCATTGTTCTGAAATAAGTTGCAATCATTTGTGTTTGACCAAACTTGAAATTGTACCAAAACTTATATCAAGTTACATAATGTACAATGTCGTATGTGACAATTTTGTTGTGGGGCAAATGAAAAGAAAGCGATCATGCCAATGATTCGATAAAAGTGATCAAATTTTATCTGTTGATTGCCCATTCCTTAGACTTTCCTGAAATTTCATTGTAGTTAGATGATTATCATTTGATATTCGTTGATATTATTATTATTAATATTGCCTCATATTTGCCATTTGAATATGAGGCAAAGCCGGCCTAATTTCTTGCTTTTTGGAGTTGCCCACAAATCGCAGAGAAGGACAAAATTCAGTGCAATCTGCTGTAAGATCATTCTTAAGTTTTCTTTTATATTTTTCTCGCCCGTTCCGTTTTTTTTTTCAAAAGTGCCGCTAACCCAGATATAAAATTGTTGCTGCCCAACACTGCACCCCTGTGAGCCGACATGGACTGTTCCATGTTTGCCGGGGAATTGTGGGTACTGCGCAGTCTCAGTGGAGCCCGGAGCCGCCATCTTGCAAAAGTCGGATCGAGCTACACTTTTTTCCGTCCCGAAACAAAAATCTTCACCACGAAACGATGCGTTTTTCCCAGCTCTGAGGAACTTTCCCGCCCTCGCACGACAAAGGACATGCACGAGAGATAATACCATGTCGTGCTTTCAGCAGCTTAGGCAGGAGTTGCGTCAGTTGGAGGCGCTTTTTCCGAAGGACCACGAGCGGTTCAGAGTGGAGTCGGCCTCTTTGGACGAAGTGACGTGCAGCTTTGTAAGCCCGAAAAACGACGAAACCTTCGTCATTCATTGCAATATCACCGTAAGTACGCTTATATGTCCCCAAACCGCTTCATATTCTACTCCGACTTAGTCTGATCTATGTAGAGTCCAGAAATGGTGTAAAACCAGGGTATGGTTGTACAAGAAAGCCGGCTTGAGAATTTTTTGTGTGTGTTGTGTTGCCCAGATAGACCACCGAGGCCCCGGCCTTCAAAACAATAACAATTGAATAGAAACAATGCAGAGACTCGGATCGGATTGACGACGGCAATTTTATCATGCAAATAACATGGAAATACTGTCATTGAAGCACTAACAGCTTGCGGTAATCATGATTAAGACGCTTTTGTGCGTTCTTTTTGGAAGGATCTGCGTGAAAATTTATGTGCTTGAGTCTTGCGTTTTGTCCGGATATGATTCAAGGTCTCCTATGACATCATTCAAGGTGCGCTTTAACTTAAGAAGAAAGGAACGAACCGGAAGCTCCTGTCTTCATTTTTCTTGAGCTGCGTATGTTGTTTTTCTCAGACCGACTCCCTTTGAAATTATGTTTATCACCTTGCTGCAAGAAACAGCAGTAGGCATTTTGCGTGTGAATATTAAAATTTATCCCTGGTAACAGTTAACACCTGTACAAAACCGGGTCTGGAAAATGTTAGGAAAATGAACTTATGATCTTTTTTTTTGTTTTACAAACTTGATGAAGATTGTGAGATTTTTTTGTTAGTGCAGTTTCAAAATGTAATAGACACATGTTTTTTTTTTTAATGCAAACGATCACAATAAAATCATTCTGGGAGTGCGGCATACTCATTAACACCAGAGCGAAGTAAGGAAAGTCGTGTAAAATGCCTTTCCTAAGGGTACAAGGTTGGTGACATGGTAGGATTTGAACCCGGGACCTCTTGGTTCTGAGCTGAATGCTTTGCTGTTATGCTACACGACACCACGTGGAACAAATTGCAACCAATTTTTTCCTAAGATAGAAGTTAGAAGTAAGATTGAAGTCTGGTTACCAGCAAAATTGATGAAAGTTACAGACATTAGATTTGCCTGTGTTTTCAGCTGTTCACCTGTGTTATGCAAGAGAAAGGTAGTACTGAATTCACACAAGCACAAGGCACCAAGAGTTAAATACCTAGAGAGACTTTTTGACTCTGAACTGTACCACGCGAAAACGAGCACCAAGAGACCACGTCTAGCGATATATTAGACTCAAAAAAAGGACGACAACAACAAGAGTTAAGCAGTGATACTGTTACCCAAAAATAATTTTATCACATTGGTAGAACCAAGGGGGTTAAATATATTAAAGTTGTAATTTTCTTATGTACGCAACCAGGTATTCTTCCTACCTTGCTTACGTTTTGATGTCTATAACTTACAAGACACCAAGATCTGTGGAAGGTGTCTGATAGACATTGAATTGAAACATAAGCAAGGTAGGATACTTGGTTGTGTATAAGAAAATCTCAATATCCTGTGACACAGCTAGTACATGTAGTACTACTACTAGGTTTCATAGCAATAGTGGCCATTAATTATCCTCTAGCAAATTCCAAATCCACTACAGTACATATGCAGCAGTTGTTTGCTTTATCACAGTAAGTTCACTCAGAATTAAATGAATTATTCTGTTGACCAAAAAATTCATAGTTGTGGCAAGTAGGAGACAAAAGTGCAAAGTATACATATATTATTCAGGGGTTTTTCTAAACAGGGGAATAAGGGAGCTGCTCCCTCATGTAACCAGCCAGCTCCCTCATACCAATTTTCAGATTGAACCCTAAGTGGCTACTTAACACCATTTAGTCTTTCTCAAAATGATCTTTTTTTCAGTAAAGATGTAAAAGCAATACAACACTATTCTAGCATTACAAACTGTGTTACTCTTATTAAAAATCCCCCCTTGGTCACTTCGTTCCTTGCCATGCTTGCGATCTGCTCCCTCATGCTAAATTTTTCTAGAAAAACCCCTGTTATTACAACCCATCTCTCATACTGATAATTGATTGCAATGAGGCATATTTGCATAAAGAAGTTATAATGCATGTATAGAACATTGAATTGGCTTGGCACTTCAGTAACAACTGCTGTTATTTATTTTATCAAAAGGCTTAGATAAACTTGAATGTGCTTAGTGAGATTATGTTGGTTTTAGACTTACATGTCTGGAGTTCACAATTTTGTAATGTTATATACTGTCTGTATGCACATATATGTACTGTAATTCACTTTATGTTCACGGCAGCAAAAGTTCACGGTCTGACAAAAATGGACATGTTCATGGAACTATATATTCATGGTGGCGACAGGTGCAGGAAAGAGAAGGTCCAGGAATTATTTGTTAACTGTACAGAAGTGACAGAGAAAACAGTGAACATAAAAGTACCATGAAAACATCAGGAATTACAGTATGTAAGTAGAATTCCTGGGTGGATAGTGGATGTCTATGCAGCAGTTCAGGCCTTGGCACTGACCCACATTTCTACAGGGCTGGAAATACTGTGAGGTGTAAATATTATTTAATATGCACTTTTCTGCACCCGAAAATTGGAGATGTGCACCTAATTTTGATTGTGGGTGCACCAATAGTACGCCAAAATATTTATGCTTAGCCATGTGATTGTACTAAATTTTTATATTGTAGTATTACTAGTACTATTGTATTATACTAGTACTAACTAGTATGCAGCAAATATTTGATATTCGAGTATGAGAAAAATAATAAAACCTTGCTTCAATTCTTGTATTACTTGATTAAAATTTTGAAGTTAGCAATAATTGTGGTGTATCTATTGAGTATCCAAAATATTTTCACCAGTGCACCAATTCCCAAAAATGAATTTTGAGCCCAGTTCTATCAATAGACTTATGGAATAGTACTGAAATAGTCATGAATGATTTGACTATCAACTTCATCTAAAAATCCATTCCATAATCGTTGTTCCTTTTGATTGTAGACAAAAGCAATGCACTTGACAACTTCACAAATAAACGTGTGTGATTGTGAATGTTTATCATTGTCAACACAACAGAATGAAACACTGGGGGTCAGATGAGTGCAGGTAAAATTAGACTCTAGAGTTGTACGTGCACAAATTGCACTGGTACTCCAGATTAGGCATAAGTGACTTGAAATTAGCAGAGGTAAATTGAAAGATTACACGTTGTAACAGGGCACATAGGGTTACAATACTCTGACTACCAAAAAATTGACAGAACATTTTTTCTTTGCTACATTATGACCTATGTGCTGAAAATGTTCCTCGTGGCATTTGCTAGATTATTTTATGTACTGAAAATGTTTGTTTCATACTTCAGGGCATTAGCCTAAAAAATTATAAATTCCCAAGGGAATAAGCTTATATGCAAATTTTTATATACAAGGGATTTTTTTTTCGTAAAGATGTATCCCACTCAGAAAACCCCAACCCTTTTTACAATCTACATGTTATGCATGTTTAACATGCTGATACTAGCATTGTCCATTTTACCAGTACCTTCTAATAAGGCAAACAGCTGGAAATAATTAACCCCTGAAGAGTCATTCATGTGTTGTTAAGCAAATAATTACCCACAGAAATGCCATATCATGGTGGTTATTAACAACAATCAGTCAGTGTTTCAATAGCTGTATGTAGTGTTGTAGATATACACAACTGTAACTTTGATAATGGTTTCATAATTTGTAACAGATATTATAAATGATATTATGCACATTATACTTCATGTTCAGGGCTCAAAATTCCACCTGCATATACAGGTTCAGTGTTCTCGCCAGGCCTTTTGAGCATAGGGGCCCCCTATGCTGTGATTTTGACCCCCTATGCTGTGATTTTGACCCCTATGCTGTCTTTCAATCAGCATAGGGGTGTTTTTTGGGGGAGAACCTTCATAAATCTAGCAAAAAAAATGAAAATATCACTTTTTGAAGCTATAGCAAAGGAAAACCTTAACTTCACAAAATCTGTCCCTCAATAAGTGAGAAATAGTGTCTCAGGGGGTTATGAATTTTTTGTGGCTCGATGTGCGACTTGTGCCGCGAAAGTTATCCTTTTGTACCTGACCCCTATGCTGTGAAAAAATCCTGGTGAGAACCCTGAGGTTAATGTCTAATTTTGAACTGTGCAGGTATTTCTGATGTCTACCTGCACCTAACCTGCACTGGTCCATGTACTGGGTATATGCAGGTTAGTGCAGGTAAAATTGGAGCTGTGCAGGTATTTCTGATGTCTACCTGCACCTAACCTGCACTGGTCCATGTACTGGGTATATGCAGGTCAGTGCAGGTAAAATTGGAGCTGTGCGAGGTATTCTGATGTCTACCTGCACCTAACCTGCACTGGTCCATGTACTGGGTATATGCAGGTCAGTGCAGGTAAAATTGGAGCTGTGCAGGTATTTCTGATGTCTACCTGCACCTAACCTGCACTGGTCCATGTACTGGGTATATGCAGATCAGTGCAGGTAAAATTGGAGCTGTGCAGGTATTTCTGATGTCTACCTGCACCTAACCTGCACTGGTCCATGTACTGGGTATATGCAGGTCAGTGCAGGTAAAATTGGAGCTGTGCAGGTATTTCTGATGTCTACCTGCACCTAACCTGCACTGGTCCATGTACAAATGTAGGTCTAGGCATACATGTATCTGTGGCGTCGGGTGGTGTAGTGGTTAGAGCAATAGACTGTGAACCGGGAGACCCGGGTTCGATTCCGGGTCGTAACCGGGACATGTCTGAACATGCGCCCTGACGTTGTGCCCTTGGGAAAGGCACTTTACACGACTTTCCTCACTCCACCCAGGTGTGAATGGGTACCTAACTTCGGTTGGGGAAAGTCGTATTGAGGTCACCTTGTGGCGCCGAATGGCAGCCGCACAGACCCTTGCGACAGTTCCACAAAATAATTGTGGAACAAATTGTATTATGTATTATGTGTATCATTTGTATTATTTGAATGTTGTAATTGTTGTGATTTGTATTGATTATGTGATACCCTGCATCAATTCAGCCATATAAAGGCTGCAACTGCACGGGTACTGTTTGGACAATAAAAACCATTATAAAAAAATCAGGGATCTCCCCAGAAATTTAGGACAGAATGGAGGAGGGTGCGAAATATCGGTAAATTTGACCAAAGAACCCTGGAAAAGGGTGTAAAAACACTAGTTTTGAAAATTAACAGGGTGGAGCTGAGATAAGGACTGGGTGGAGGAGCTCCACTGCTCCATTGTTTAGGGAGGTCCCTGCATACAGTTGATTTTCATACAGGTTACCTGAGTTACCTTAAGTTTGTGAAATAAAACGAAAAAGAGATGAAAACTTGTGTGTTGTCCCCCCCCCCCCCCCAGGAGACATACCCGCATTCCCCGCCCATGTGGTTCTCGGAGTCAGAAGATCCCGTTGTGTCGGCTGCGATAGAGAACCTGTCCAACGTCTCCGGAGCATCAAATCTCGTAAGAACTATATACTGTACTCTTCATTCTAGTACACACACACACATGTACAACACTTATACTGTATATAAAAATAATACTGGAGCATCAAATCTGGTATGGACTGTATACTGTACTCTTCATTCTAGTACACACACACACACACACACACGTACACACACACACACATGTACAACAGTGTATATAATACTGGAGCCAGAAGATCCTGTAGTGTCGGCTGCGATAGAGAACCTTTCTAACGTCTCGGGAGCATCAAATCTGGTAAGGAACAGTTACTCACACCATACAACATATACTACAATCACACCCTCTTAACACATAACATATACTACAGTTACACACCCCACACAACATAATATTATACTACATTCTTACAACTAGTGCTGTGTACCAGTTCACTGGACTTGGATCCGGACTTGTAAGAATGTTTAGGTTCAAGTAAAAAAAAACCTATAAGTCAAGAACCGAGTCCAGACTTATTACCAAAAAAAACATATCTCATCCCCCTTTTCTTCCCAAACACCCTAAAACCTTCCGTAGATTGCAAAATCTTTGCTGCAAAATGAAGAAAACATTGTCAACATGCAATTTTGTATATGCCATGGGTTTAGGTCTGGGCTTAAAAGTCCAGAACTGAACCTAAATCTCTTGACTTGAATCTGGACCTGAATCTAAATGTGGGTTTAGGTACACAGCACTAATTCTGAGTGCTGCTCTTTTATCTGTAAGAATGGAATGAAGTCTGCCATCTCTGACTGTAGTTTTGTTCTTTTCCAGCTGATCCGACTGATGAAACAGCTGGCCACATCCCTGTGTAACATGTACAACGTGCCTGTACACCCAGACATCCTCAAACTAGACGCACCCATGGAACAACAGGTAAGCCTTATGTCCCTGTGTAACATGTACAACGTGCCTGTACAAACTAGACGCACCCATGGAACAACAGGTAAGCCTTACTGTGTAACATGTACAACGTGCCTGTACATCCAGACATCCTCAAACTAGACGCACCCATGGAACAACAGGTAATGGAGAAAAATGTGAAAAAAACATTTGAAAAACTGGCTTAAAGTCCTGTCAGCTACATGTACTTAGTTGACCATAAATTAGAACTCTCCAGATTATGTTTGGGAGTTAGTCATCAGCAAAGTCATCTCGTTCTAGAAGATGATCAGTGAGGTTGTCTACTAGTCATTGAAATCATTAGAATCATCTGTGTCAGCGAGGGATTTTGTAATACAGGCTAACCATGTAATGACCATACTTTATCTCTCATTTCTTCAGAACGGTGAGGAGTCATCAGAAAGTGAGGATGACGGCATGGACAGTGACTTGAATGAGGTAAGATGTCAATCGACAATGGCATACCAGCCGTTTTAATTCCACATAAATCATAGCCAGATATTTCAGGCAGACATAGAGCAAAATTGGTGCATTCCGCAACTGAAGTGGTGCTGCAATTTAGCATAAAGCAAAGTGAGCTCCTCTGATTTTAGCATAATACTTAGGCGCTACCTTTCTGTATTCAACATACCTCTAGCATTGATGGCTGTGTCTTGTGTCTAATGCCCATGTCTTCCATCTTCCCATGTCTTCCATCTTCCCATGTCTTATATCTTTTCATATCTTGTGTCTTAACCACATCTTCCATAGTAAAAGGTTGAACTTTATTCAAACACACAATTGTACAGGGATCAAATTGTGAAGTCATTGGTCAATAATTGCCCTGATGAAGGCGACAGTGGTCGCTGAAAATTTGATCCCTGTACAATTGTGTGTTGGAATAAAGTTCAACCTTTTACTATGATCACTACCAACACAGATGAACTTTCATGACACATCTTCCATCTTGCCCATGTCTTATGTCTTGTCCATGTCTTCTGTCATGTCTTAGGACGTAGATGAGGAGGACCATTTTTGAGATGGACGAGGTGACGTCAGAGAGAGACAAGAAGAAGGAGGAAGATGAAGACATCGACACAGAAAACCTCATCGTCCTGGAGAGACTCAAAATGAACCAGCGAAGGGACTACCTGAAGGTACTGTAATTCCTGATTTTTTCACTGTACTGTTATGTTCACTGTTTTCACTGTCACTTCTGTACCATGAACTTATCATTACAGTTAACAACCAATGCATTCCTGGACTTTCTTTTTCCTGCACCTGTTGCCACCGTAAATACATACTAACATAGTTCCACGACCATGTCCATTTTTCTCAGACCATGAACTTTTGCTGCCGCGAACATGAATTACAGTGAATTACAGCTACTCACCGCTCCAGTTCTGGAGTTAGTTAGTTAGTCCCCATAAAACCATTGCATTAATAATAAGTAAAGTCTCATCATTCTGGAGAGACTTAAAATGAACCAGTGTAGGGACTACTTGAAGGTACTACTAACCGCTCCAGTTCTGGAGTTATTTACAGGGATCTCCCTACAGAATGAAACAGTGGTGCTCCCCCATCATACTGTAACCCCAGTGCATTTTTTTTTACTCAAGAATACAATTCTTGATAGAATGTAGAATTCCTTCCCAGGAAATGGCCCTCATTTGTATTTGGAAAACAAAGCAAAATGGTAGAGAGGTTTTACCCCCAGAAGGTTGGGCTTGCTTGTCTCCCTCCTGGACCATTGTGATTTGAGTGGATTTATATGTTGCTCCTAGCACACCACCATGCTCGACATTTCTGGGGAGATACATGTAGGGCCTAGGAAAAGAAATGTTGTGTTTCCTGTTTCAGTCTTGAAAAACGTAGGCTCGGTAGGTAGGGATTATGGCAATCTCTAGTGATCCAACTTGTGACCCAACCTACAGTTTAACAAAGATTACATTAGGACAGCTTTTTCTAGGGTCAGTCGGGAAACAGCAAATACGACATTTCTTTTCCTACGTGTAGGTCTACTTGTCCACAGAAATCCTCTGTAACGGGAAAGATTAGCCAACTGTAGAATTCTGACTGGCATATGTACACTGTATCTATTCTTCGAATTACATGTAAGACCACACCAACAAGATTAAATCTCTCCTATAAGAATTGTATACATGTAAATAGAATGGGTACATCTATGACTAAACATGAGCTGGTGTGTTCTCCCACCTGGAGCAGGGGGCAGTGTCAGGGTCGGTCCAGGCTACAGACAGGCTCATGAAGGAGCTCAGAAATGTCTACAGGTCCGACAGCTTCAAGAGAGGTTAGTCCTGAGTGTGTGTGTGTGTGTGTGTGTCTGTGTGTGTGTGTGTATGTGTGTGTGTGTGTGTGTGTGTGTGTGTGTGTGTGTGTGTGTGTCTGTGTGTGTACACGCGTGTGTGTGAGTGTGTGTGTGTATGTGTGACACTGTGTTTGTGAGTGTGTGTGTGTGAGTGTATGTGAGTGTGTGAGTGTATGTGAGTGTGTGTGTGTGTGTGTGTGTGTGTGCGTGTGTGTGAGTGTGTGTGTGGTCTGTGTGTGCGTATGTTTGTATGTGTGTGTATGTCTGTGTGTGTTTGTGTGTGTGTGTGTCTGTATATCACATGAGCCTGTAATGGAAAAATGTTCTCCTTGTTTCCAGGAATCTATTCAGTGGACCTGGTGAATGACAGCCTTTATGACTGGAATATCAAGCTACAGGGGTGAGCATCAGCCTGGTTTGCACTCATCTGTGTGTATCTATGTTAGATTGATGTAAGCCATTCCTAGATTGTATTCAGGACAGGGTAACAACACTAGGTGCAAGTTAGGCACTTTGGCTACCTTAAACTTGCTGAATTCTGTGTCTCAGTGGTCCCTGTCCTGAGTGATCTTCTTAGTATTCAGTTTTGACTGTATGTGATAATGGACATGTCTCCTTGGTTCCCCAGAGTTGACTCAGACTGTCCCTTGTATGCAGATTTATATTCGAGTGGTCTTCTATGTGCAGTTTGACTGTATGTACGTTTTAACACTGCCATTCTTGTTGCTTCCCCTATGCAGAGTTGACCCAGACAGCCCCCTGTATGCAGACTTAATGGTGCTGAAGGAAAAGGAAGGCAGAGATTTCATCCTCCTTAACATGACGTTCAAGGTAAGGATTTATTATGTTTTTACCTGCAGATTTGAGTGACTTGCTGAAAGATTTTTTAAATGTTTTGCGTGTTTTGTTGTCTTTTAAATGTTTTGTATCATATTCTGGATTATACATGTAGTAGTCCTTATGACAACTTTCAACTTCTCTCCCTTTTTTCTCCAGGAGAACTTTCCGTTTGACCCTCCTTTTGTCAGGGTCATCGCTCCAATTATAAATGGAGGGTGAGTGTACATCATACTTAATTAAACTGTCATTTTTGCCCATAATTACCAGGTCTCATGTGTCCTCTATGTGGTGCATATCTCATGAAACAGCAGTATGATACAGCATGGAAACAACACATTGATGAAGGTTAGACATCATGTAGTCTTTGCTAACCATTCTATGGTCTGCATATGTTTGCAGGTATGTGCTGGGAGGTGGTGCCATCTGTATGGAACTGCTTACAAAACAGGTGAGTTAAATCTTCATGATTTTCATCTACTGCTGCCTCCTGGTGCAGACCTACGCTGTCCAGTAGTTATAGTGACCCTACCTCTGGACCAAGAGGTTGTGAGTTCCAATCCCGGCTGTTGCTGCTCACCTGAGCTGCTGTGTACGGTACTGGAAATGGTTGCAGTCCTTGGGACAGGAAGCCTTGGTCCACTGGTCATTGTAGTTAAGATGTGCTGTTCCCCAAAGAGTTAACTTTATAGTTTTATACTGACCCTGGTCTTATGATTGCTCATCTCCAGGGTTGGAGTAGTGCGTACACAATAGAAGCTGTGATCATGCAGATCTCAGCCACACACTTACACAGACTAACCCTGATGTTTTACTGTGCTATGAATACTACAGATATTTGCTATAGAATATCCCTAATGCTCCTGATTGTTTCTGTTCTCCAGGGCTGGAGTAGTGCGTACACAATAGAAGCTGTGATCATGCAGATCTCAGCCACACACTTACACAGACTGGCCCTGATGTTTCTGTGGTATAGAGTAAGAATAACCCTAATGTTTAATATATGGTTGTTTCTTTACTCCCCAGGGCTGGAGTAGTGCTTACACAATAGAAGCTGTGATCATGCAGATCTCAGCCACACACTTACACAGACTAACTCTGATGTTTCTGTGGTATAGAGTAAGAATAACCCTAATGTTTACATGGTTGTTTCTTTACTCCCCAGGGCTGGAGTAGTGCGTACACAATAGAAGCCGTGATCATGCAGATCTCAGCCACACACTTACACAGACTAGCACTGATGTTTCTGTGGTATAGAATAGAATAGAATAACCCTATTGTTTATATGCTTGTTTCTTTACTGACCAGGGTTGGAGTAGTGCGTACACAATAGAAGCCGTGATCATGAAGATCTCAGCCACACACTTACACAGACTAACTCTGATGTTTTACTGTGCTATGAATACTACAGATATTTGCTATAGAATATCCCTAATGCTCCTGATTGTTTCTGTTCTCCAGGGCTGGAGTAGTGCGTACACAATAGAAGCTGTGATCATGCAGATCTCGGCCACGCTGGTGAAGGGAAAAGCCAGGATCCAGTTTGCAGCCAACAAGACTCCTGCTGTACGTAATCCACACGTATGTGCTTTTATATTCGTAATACGATCTAGAATAGTGCTGGGTACCTTTTATAACATCAGACACAGGTACAGGGGTTCAGGTTCAGGTCCAAGCCTTACCATTCGTAATATGGTATAGAGTAGTGCTGTGTACCTACAATGTGTGCTTGTATTATAACATCAGCTACAGCTACCAGTACAGAGGTACAGGTATAAACAAGTTGGTACAGGACAATATGACAATTTTATATTTGACACCGTTGTATGTTTTGCATAATATATCTGGTAAACCAGTCCACCTTTAGGCATAACGCACTAGTTTTATACAGTAAGTACATGTACAAGCTGTGTAAGTAAGTACATGTACAAGCTGTGTAAGATCTTAATGTGACTTATACTTGCAAGAATTATTAGACTTGGTAGGTGTATACCATTGGTTTACAGTAAAGCTTTGCAGCCTATTTTAGATATGGACTTTGACTATTATTCAGTGGCTATTGCTCATATACTGCAGGCAAATGATAAAAAAAAGTTATGTCACTGTACTGATTGTGTTCTTGTTCTACCAACAGAACCAATATAGCCTTGCCCGGGCCCAGCAATCTTTCAAGTCACTAGTGCAGATACATGAAAAAAATGGTGAGGCTTCTTCTCTTTCCAGGGCTCACTGGGTGCATGTGCACCTTAGTACACCCAAATTTGGAGCTGTGCACCCAAATGTTTTTTGTAGGTTTACGTATACGTCAAGATGTTAAATGTAGAGAAGTACCAGTATTCATATTGTTAACATCTAAGTGTCAGACAAATAGTTATATCATTCTTGTAATACTTTAATTTAGAAACAAAATATGGTGCACTCACAGGAAATTTTGTGCACCCAATTTTTTTAGTTGGGTGCACCAGTGCACCTATTCCCAAAAATGAATTTTGAGCCCTGCTCGCTATACTGGATTCCAGGGGTTTTTCTGAACAGGGGAACAAGGGCGCTGCGCCCTCATGTAACAAACCAGCGCCCTCATATCAATTTTCAGATTGAAGCCTAAGTCTTTTTCAAAATCATCTTTTTCCAGTAAAAACACAAAAACAACACCACATAACAATACATTCTAGCATTACAAACTATGTTACTCTCATAAAAATTCCAAAATCTTACCACAAACTTGAAAATTTAGCTCTAGTAGTAAAAGTTTGAATGGAATAAACAATGTTCATTGAGAACTTGCTCAAAAAGACATGTAGCTAGACCTCCTTCATTTGCATACTATAGAACAGGCTCTGAAGTGAAACATGAGACCTGAGTTTGTAGCAGCTTGGATGAATGTGTTGCAATTGTGCCATGGGAAAGGCTTCAGCTTGTGGCAAACTTAATGTTGTCATCTACATGTACTAGTAACATTGATCACTACTAATTGTGTTCTAAGTGTATAAAGGGTGATTTGCAGATTGTTTGTACTGTTGATTGTACTTATATTTTATAAGTGAAATATGCAATGCATGAATAGAAATTTGGGAAAGGTATATTGAGGTTAAGAGTTCAAATTTCCCCTCTCAAGTAGCCTCAAAATGTCCCATTTCAACCTCAAATTTTCAAAGGCTTCACATGGCGGAAGGGGGGAAACCCCCCTTCCGCACCAAACCCCCCTCGGTCGCTTCGCTCCCTCGCCGTGATAGTGCTCCCTCATGCCAAATTTTTCTACAAAAACCCCTGGATTCACTAACAGGCATTATTATTAGTACTATATAGTATTAGTAGTGTGTTTACTATTCACCATACAAGGGGAAACCACCTCTAACTGCCGTTTCCTTTTTCTTGTGTTCCCTACAGGTTGGTTTACACCTCCCAAGGAGGATGGATAGGTCCCACTATGCAACACGCCCCCCCCCCCTCCCCCCTCAACCCCCCCTCCCAACACTGTGTACAGATCTTCTGTCTCTCTCCCCTTCTCCACCCCCACCTCCCCTCCCCCCCAGCCAGCCTTCTCCACCTCCAGCCAACACTGCTACTGGGGCTACGCAGGTGAAATTCCTGGATTTTTCCACAGGAATAACTACTGCTTTATGAAGACCCAACTTTACACCCAAGCAACGGACTTCCACCGAAACTGTGACTGCTTCAGACCTGAAATTATGCAGCGGAATTTTTAGGGGTAGCTAGAAAGAAACAATGGATGTGGAAGGTCTAGTTTTTTTATATGTTGTGACGTCGGCCTGCACTTTTTCTTCCCCTCTGACGAAAGCACGAGATTGTTGCTTACATTCCTGTGTTTAGTATTGCACCAACTGGAGACTCTGATCTTTCATAAGTTTGTCTAAGTTGATATATACGGGCTTGTGGAAAAAGATTTGGGGTTTTGCTGTTGTTTTGTGTCCGACAAGCTTATTTCACTGGTACTGTTGTCTAAGTGAACTATTGAAAAAGTCCACGTATAATGTAATTTACAGTTTTACATTTTTGCAACAACAAAATCAAGCAGGGGTTAGCAAGCACTTGTTTTTGTAAGTTGCAGGGACTATAAATTGTAGGTCCACTCTTCTACTAGATCATCATCTGAACACATATGTACATCTACAGACTTAACACAAACAACAGACAGAGAATGGGCAAGATCCTTCTTTGCATTTCAACTTGAAGACATTACAAATCTGAGAATGGTTGGTCAGCTCAACTCGACAGTCAGGGCCTTTGAAAGCAACCAATTTTGCATGTAATCTTACATTGTGATTACATGTAGGCGAGCTAAAGAATATTTGTATCATGTCCCCTTCCATAAAAAAACTCTGTAACGCTGTGGTGTGTAAGATAGTTTTTACGTGTCCTTAGTTAGACCACTTGTCCTGTCTTATAATGTGTCCCTTCCAGTGCCTTTGTAAGCTCATTTGTCAATGCCCCCCTCCCCCCTTTAGTGTGTGTTTCTTACCGGTAAAACTCCCCAGTGTTAGAAGACTGTGAATCTTGGTGAGCGTTAATTTATACAGGGTACTCGTAGTGTCAGTTCTGGTGGCAGTGATAGCTAACGAGCATATTTGTGTGGGGGTTGTCACCTGGAATATTATTACTGGGAGGAAACAGGCTTCCTATGGATGCTTTCCCCGTTGTTTAAACCTTAGAAGACAACATGGACCCTGTAAAAGCTACATGTAGATAAAATCTTGATATCAAACCCAATGGCATTAACCATCTTTCAACTTAGCCTCCGTAGCAGGCTTATAGAACTGGGGGTTTGGTGGTCTTCGGCTGTTTTCTGATTAGCCCAGTTCTAAAAACGGGGGTAATTCAACCAGGCCTGCTATGTTGTCCATATGCAATCAGAAAATAGCACATAAAAGCTCCCAAAAGAGACCCTGAAGACCCCCAAACCCCCAGTTTTTGGCATTGTAGGTCAGGCTGCTGAAAAAGTGAACAATTTTGGCCACCAGTCAAAGTATTTGCACATTTGTTATATATGTTTGCACACAACTTGTACATTGTACATCTCTTGGAACTATAGGCTTTCAACTCACATCAGATCGGTGATGAGGTGTTGGGTTTGTTTATGAAGCTCAGGAATCAAAGAACGTGTACCGTCTGCCAGCCCAACTAACCAAAAATTCTGTTGCTCTTTGATTTATGAATTATGTATCCATAAGACTAAAAAGAAGAAGAGAAACAAGCAACAGCAGTTTGTTATTCAGCATCTGTTGCGGAGAATTAGCGGTTAGGTTGTAAGTAGCTTCTTCAAAACAAAACCAACCAAATCTGTGGAAATAGGAGAGTTACAAAGTGACGAAAAATTTGGGAAGTCAGTTTGGGAAAATTTGGGAGACTTATGCCTAACTTGGGTCTAATAACTTAAAGAATTACGATCATGAAAATTACAAACAAGTCTGTCTTGTAGTTGTCTTGTCTTAGAGAACCCTGGTCGGATAATCCACTACCTTCCACCCTATCCCTTTTGTATAGCCTGGATGCAAGACTCGTAGCACACCGAGCCCAAGGTAACATTTCAGTGCACACTGGATAGTGCTGTGTACCTAAACCCACAGTTAGGTTCAGGTCCGGATTCAAGTCCAGAGGTTTTTTAGGTTCAGTTCCGAACTCGTGATTCCGGACCTAAACCCATGGCATATACAAAATTGCATGTTGGCAATGTTGTCTAGGCAAAAGTTTGGCCACATAACATGGAGGCCGACACTTGACGATGCCTGATGGCAATGTTTTCTTCATTTTGCAGCACAGATTTTTTTATAAGTCCGGAATCGGGTCTTGCAGTGAACAATGAGATATGACTTTAGGCCCAGTGTGCTGTGGGTCTGGCATCCAGACTACCTTTTCTAACGCGAGTCGACATGAGCTTTTCTAAACTTGGTGGACGTGCCAAACTTGGTTGTGTTGTGCTCGAACTTCAAGCAATGACGTAGTGAGAGACTGTGGGACTAAACTTGGGTTCTTGCACCCAAGCAACGCCGTCAAAACTGCACATGGAATGTGCGGAGTACTGCTAATGGCCCCTTTTTTATACGCAAGCTACAGAAATAGTGACCAGTTTTGACAATTACACATAATATACAGAATGTTGAAATCATTTGTAAAGCCTAAGAATCATTAACACATACTGCACCTGGTGAAAAAAAATTGAATTGTCATTTCTGTATTCCCTTCACCTGGATTTAAGTTTACTTAGAGTTTGTTTTTTCCTACCTTTACAAGGTACTGATTGCCAGTGCTTATTGTACGTAATTCTAAAGGTGGCTACATTGTATATTGTTGGCTTTATCATCTGGATTCTGCGTAAAAGATGTTTTGTATACTAGTAGTCAGTTTTCTTTTTTTGGCATTCACGAATGGTAAAACCTTATGATCCAACCTCCACTAGGTGATAATTGTTGCATCTTCTCTCAACTACATTTAGCAGAGAAGGTTTAAAGGCATCCAATGCGATTTCAGAGCAGCAAAACTGGAAATATTCTGAACAAGGCAATCTTTGTGATATTGACACATAGTATTACTGCTTCACATTAGCACATTTCAGTCATTATTTCTTTCTCGGTTACAGCAAGGAAACCTGTGAAAATTTACTGCGCTTTGGCACAGCTTTGTAATCATATAAATAGTGCTCTCAACTCAGGCAACTTTAATTTACTTTCTTGGTTCTCAACAAAAACAGAGTAAAACTTGGAGTAAAACTTGACTCTGACTAATATAATATATTATTGTACTTCCTCAGAAATCTACCTACAGGTCCATACTTTTTCTTTGCCTCATTTTACCAGTTTAGAACTATGTTTTTTCTTGTAACCGAGAACCAACATGTTGAATTGGTGTGGCCTTAGTTCCTTTGAAAAGTTAAAAATTGTGATTTGAAGGAAGTCAAGTTGTAAGAGACGTAATCCCTCATGTGAAAACTGGTGGACATTTTTTTTCTGCTTTTATTATTATTATTTTGTAGCCATTTGGAACTGGACATGCAGATATGGGTAGTGGTTTTAAAATTGTTTTTTCTGTTTATGATTAAGTAGATTAAGTGTAATATCATCTGTATCTCCTCAGTTCCGTACTAATTCTTACGAGCTATACTGCTATGTACATTGTACATGTGTTGGCAAAATGATGTTTAAGATCATGTAGTATCAGGCATCAAAGTTATCGGGTTGCTTTACTCAGATGAGAATCTTTTTGAGCTGAATACTTTAATTTCACACTCAGACTGGCTGATTCCATGCTTTGTAAATTGCCATTAAATTATTCAACTGTCGTTTCTTTCTGTTAGCACTACAGTTATTATACCAACTGGCCTTGTTGTTGTATGGAAGCAACGCCAGTTGGACATATTGTCACAGATTGCATCCAATTAAAAATAGTTGTATTCTAGCCTACATTCCAGCCTTCTTAGGAGCTCCCCAAGATCTCCTACCTACTACTGTTAGTAGCCAAGGGTAGTTGATCTTTGGGAGCAGATTAGTCCTAAGAAGGCTGGACTCTAGGTTAGCTGTATTTCACATGATACTGCTAAGCCTAGACCCTCTGTACAGCATATTACATGTTATGTTTTCAGTTCTATGTACATTCAGACACACATGATATTATAATACCTATGATCTATCTTGTACATACAAATGATGAAGGCGAGGAAAAATTCCTCTGTAGGATGATTTTGTCCTTTGAGTGGAAAACAAGATCCGAATCTACCAGTACCACCAGTTTTTAACACTTCTGTTTTTTTTTGTTTCTTGAAAAAGCTGTGTGGGANAGTGTTGGAATTTATTANAATTGCCTTATTATTGATACAAATTATGTGTTAAAAAATTGGATTAAAACTTTACCCAGGGGAGAAGCATCTATATGGGGCATACATTTATAGTTGGGTTGATTAGCGTAAACCCTTTGCACTCGGGTAACACGGAAATACATAATGTACTATGCCTCAGAAAGGGACAATAGGGTTCCAGGTGATGCTATAATTGTTTTGTTTTTATAATAATAAGTATTTCCATGATATTGAAACACAGTATAGGGACACACAAAAGCCAAATTTCCACGAGCTGTTTCTTTGCTGATGTTGTCTACTTTAACTTTGGTTGATTTTTTTCAAGTGTACTGTAGAAAAAAAAATTGCAAACCTGTTGTCCAAGGCCATGCAGGCATGCCGCTGAATCTGAATCACCAGGAAAAATTCTAACTGTGCAGTTCTACAGTATAACGTTACTAATAGTCGTTTATTGTTGTTGGTTTAGACTTACTGTATGTACGGTACGGCTCTCTTCAGTATAAGTTCCGGTATGTACCGCCTGTTTTAGTTGAAAATCATGAGTACAAATCTTCAGAAACAAGCCTTGTCTGTGTGTTTATTGGTGTGTTTATTGGTGTGTTTATTGGTGTGTTTATTGATGTTGATATGTATAGTACTATAACATGTAGTATATTTAATCTAGTATCTAGAATAATAAGCTGGTTCACAATTCAAAGTGTGCATGGCATTATATGAGGTCAAGGGTTATAAGCCCCATTCTGGACCCTCAACTATCTTTAAAAAGTACTGTCATAAAATATCATTGCACTGTATATCACTGTATACTGTATATCAGATTTAAGACTTTAATTTTTGTTAAACCACTGTTAGTTACATAGCAGAATAACAGTCAAATTCAAAATTTCCTGAAGTAGACAAGCTGCCTTGTCTTGGCACTTGTTAATAGTGACATCCTTGGAGGCAATGTTAGGCATCCTTTAAATGTGCGTGTTTAGTTTTTAATCCCGAAGATCACTACATTGGACATTTCAATGAGATTGCTGCCCCTACTGCTATCAAATAGCTATAAGACGGATGGATGGATGGAATGAGAATGTTCTTATACATGTACATGGCCATTCCATAAGACACTCAAATATCCTATTTGAGAAGTATTATAATTATAACATTATTGACGAGTTCAACAAGTATACAGTTAGGTGGTCCAATTAAATATTTATCCTTTTAAATGTGCCTGTTTAGTTAACCCCATAAATCAGTATATTGCTCATTTCAATGAGAATGAAGTGACTTCAAGAACAAATACCCTATTTGAGAAGTAATAATAACATTAGGGACGAGTTCAACAAGTAGACACTCAGGTGGTTCCATTTAAATATTGTTACATTTTCACAGCCATACAATTATCTCTCAGATGTTACTAGACCTAAAAGTTGTGTGTTGAGTGAAGCTACAGCCTGGCCTGTACTACGACAATCCTCCTGTAGGCCATTTTGTCCAGAGGGACGTAGGATTTCCTGATACATTGATGAAGGTTAGACATCCAGGTAAACAATGCTCATAACATAGTAAAACGTTGAACTTTATTCCAACACACAATTACACCGAGATCAAATTTTCAGCGACCACTGTTGCCTTCATCAGGATAATTCATGACCAATCACTTCACAATGCGCTCTCACGATAATTGTGTGTTGGAACCTGCAATTCTTCTCTGGTCTCTCAGTCACTGACGAAAGCTAGTGTATGCTACCTGAAACGTCTGACCGTTTCCAAAATCATATCCAGTGCTGTTGCTTGTAATTGAGTAACTGCTTTTTGGCATATTTTATTACCTGGATGTCTAACCTTCATCGACACAACATTGATGAACTTTCATGACTCATACATCTACAGCCTGGCCTGCCCTACTACAATCCTCCTGTAGGCCGTTTGGTCCAGAGGGACGTAGGATTTCCTGCCGTTGTCGACCACAAACAGCGGGTCCCCGACCTTCCCGGGGTCAAACCCTTCCTTCACCAGCACAGCCTTCTGGTGCTTAAACGTTCCTGTCACCTGGATTTAAAAACAAATATACATCAATACAAACAAAAGTCAAGACCAATGCATGTTCAGGACAAAAGATACAAAAACCGGAATCAGGTCATCCACCGGGAGGCTCATAATTGACCTTTGTCTTCCTAAGACTTATCAGCATACCAAATAGTATCACAATCCATAGAGGAGAGCAGACCATGAAATTGCAACATTATGTACATGAAACCCAACACCAGTCACCACGGTGACAGATGTCAACACGGTCTGCTCTGTTAATCTTACTCAAACACATTCATATATATGGTGAAAAGAGTCTAAATCCCTCCTACTGTAAAATTGCAACATGATGTAACCCAACCCCAACACCAGTTACCATGGTGACAGATGTCTGGTTCAGGTCATTGACCTTTTTTGTTTGGAGAAGAAGAAGAAACAGCAAAAACAATATGTTTTCATTCAGAATCTGCAAATATATTCTGCGATGGTAAACATAACACGACTGCCTGCCAATTGTAAATTGATGTACATGGAAAACTGCCCTTTGTCCCTGGTTAAATAAATAAACAAAAAAACCTGGATCTCCTTGGATAATCGGAGGAACAGTGGCCGTGCGTAGGGAGGCAGCTTTGCTTGGATGTACCTGGATGAGAGAGAGAGATTATGCCCAAAAATATATTATACGAATGGTGTAAGGAAAAAGATAATGGTTTCATTTCAATTTTATTACTTTAAATTTACATATATTTACAGGTAAAAAATGACCATGGGAAACAGGCCTAAGAGTGCTTTTACAACTCTCTGACCACAGTTAGGAAATGCTAATAACAATTATAATAAAAGTAACAAAAAGTAAACAATGAAAAGTAATACAAAACAATAAAGTAACGTATGATAAAAGTCAAGATAATGGTTTCAAGATAATGGTTTACTTTTAAATCAAAAACTCTTTCAGCACAAAGGCTGCATTGAGATTCTGTGCTATGATAAAGCAGGCCTTTGAAAGCTAAGACCTTTAAATTAAAACAATCAAATGGGATAAAAAGATTTAACCCTAATCTACTATGTACCTGTACCAGCGCGGAAAGTCAGGTTTCTTTCCAGGGTTGGGGAGGATGGACGCCATGCCTGCTCGACCATCCTGGCCTGTAAACAATTAAAGCCAATATTTCGTCATTTTTAATTATTAGAATTTTATTATTCTGTACACAATTAACTAGTAGTCAATAATGAGGATGGGACAAGGTGAAGGTGATTGATCTTTGCAGAAGGAGAACATATAAATTTGTTTTTGCTTTTCTTCTCCAGACACATAAGGTCAATGACCTGGACCAGACAGCTGCCACCATGGTAACTGGTGCTGTAGCAGACACCCTGTGGTGTTGGATTACATTATGTAGCAAGTGGCTGGAAAGAGTTGGAGTGGCTGGTCACCATATGTATGAATGCGTTCGTGTGTTAGAATAGACCAGAGTTAGGCTAGACCATGTATACTAAACTTCCAGGTATTACTTTTTTTTTTCACTAAACATTATGCATTTGCTTTGCAAGGAGGGAGCCAAGAGAAAGTATATTTCAAGGACTTTCCCTACCTGGCACCTTGACCCCGTAGACATTGACCTCCTGCACTCCTTCCATCTTACTAAGAACCTGGGCAACTTCTGTGGTCGCTACATTCTCTCCCTTCCACCTGTGTGTGGGTACAACACAAAATATCAACTTTAAACAAACTCCCCAAAGCTAACCCTAATTAAAACCCTAACCCTAACCCTACATGTAACCCCTAACCCAAACCTTTAAACCCTAACCCTAACCCTAAACCTACATCTAACCCTAACCCTAAACCTACATCTAACCCTAACCCTAAACCTACATCTAACCCTAACCCTACATGTAACCTTAACCTCTAACCCAAACCTTTAAACCTAAACCCTTAAACCCTAACACTTAAACCCCTATTTAAGGTTTTCTGTGTGAAGCATTATTATGGTTATAGACATAAATACCAACCTTCTCCCTGCTGCCTAACCCCATAACCAATACAAATTTAGTCCCAAATGGCTACCTTAGCAGGCTGAGGGTTAATGACCCTGTCCCTAGTGCTGAAGTCGTGGTGGTTGTTAACCCTCTCCCTGCTGCCTTACCCCACAACCAATACAAACTTGGTGCCAAACGGCTGCCTTAGCATGCTGAAGGTTAAGGTACATCACACCCACCCAGGGCTGGAAATACTGGGTGCATGACTTGTGCACCTTAGTGCACCCAAAATTGGAGCTGTTCTGTAGGTGCACTGGTGCACTCAATTTTGTAGGTATTTTTGTACATATCAAATGTAAAATAGTATGCAGGATATTCTTGGCATTTAAGTGTCAGAAAAATAATAAAATCTTTGTTGTAAGTTAGCCCCCATTTCAGATTCAAGCTCAGAAGAGGAGCAGTAAGATCTGTGATCAGTTTTTGTTTTATATGGTGCACCTAATATTTTAGGTTGGGTGCACCAGTGCAGCTATTGCCCAAAATGAATTTCGAGCCCTGCTACCTGAATGTGTCTCCGACCCGATCCACAAAGTAGATGAAGAACTCCTTGTCGATCATCATCAAGTCACCTGTAAGAATGAAACAAGACTGGCAATGAAAACATACATAGCCATGGCGACGGTGGTTGCTATTAGGGTTATTGTTTGCATGATTTGGTACCTGTTAAGTCTAGACAGATACAGTGCACTCCTCCCCAGAGTGTATAGTGAACGAGCCCTGGGGTCACAGAAAGTAGGGCCATTGGGGCATACAGGTCTTCCCAAGGGTTTTCAGGAATGTGGGCATAGATGTGGGTCAAACAGTCCAAACATTAAATCAGAGCCTTGTCATGTCTCCTCTCTTCATGTTTATCTGCCATACACGTTCCAGCATGGCAACAGACATCTTTGCCCATTTTCAGTTTGTGGACCACTGTCACAAGGCAACAAAATTTCTTGACAAATGTTTTTTTTTCCCAATATCAGGTGAAAATCAATGCGAGCACTGATGTCATCCATAAAAATGACTTGCTGTGGCCTAAGTCACCTGTGTTGAAGTACATGTCCCCTTTCTCGAAGACATCTCGTAAGATTTTCTTCTCGGTGAGTTCCCGTTTCCCGAGGTAGCCGGCGTACGGAGTGGCCGGGGATAACCTGTTCACCAGGAGACCAGTCTGGCCTGCGATGGGAAGTTTAGAAACATTCAGACATCTTAGATGTGTAATAGCTTGATCCGTAAAAGCACACACACGCACACGCACACACTCGCACGCACGCGCACACAATGCACACACACACACACACGCACACACGCACACACATGATGAGTTCCCGTTTCCCGAGGTAGCCCGCATACGGGATAGCCGGCCGGGGATAACCTGTTCACCAGGAGACCAGGCTGGCCTGCGATGGGAAGTTTAGAAACATTCAGACATTCAGCTAGATTTCAATTACACGAAAGTTTAAGCAAAAATGATTTTCTTCCATCACTGCACTGGCCCATCATACATGTACATGTAGGTAGTACTTCTGATGGGGATGTGCACTTTTATTGCTTGCAAATACACCAACTAAATACCAGTATAGTTGAGTTTAAAAGGAAGAAAAGGATGACCTGTCCTTGGTGCTGAAATGATGATCTGTTCTTATTTGATGGCCACATTACTGTTGGTAAGGCGTTAGAATGACAATGACAATTACTCATTGAAATTCAGATGTTTATATACATGAAGTAACTGTACATTGAAAAAAAGAACACTTCAACATGTAGGAAGAGGAACTGACCTAGTTTGACCTCAGTACATTTTCCATCCTTCCCCCTGATTGGCTCTCCTGTGTCGATGTCACACTCGATCAGAGTGAAATTTTTATGTTTCTGCAGGTGGGGATAGGGAAAATGCCGGTAAGGAAAGGTACATGTATCAGTCTACTTAATCAGAGAGAGTAAAGCCATATTCTGAATATTTGACAATAACAAAGAATCAAGAAATCAATAAATATCTGTCATGTCACAGCTGAAGAAAATAAACATCAACCTCTATTTACTTTGTAAACCTTAAAACCTGAGATAAAAGTGCACATATGATGATAATATCATCACATGTGCATTGCCATGTAACTTGTTTACCCTTACCACATTGAATAGTAAACCATGAAAACCTAATCTCTAACAGTTACATGTACCTTTCATCAGTCTTCCATGATTATAGTGAAAGTTTGCCCGAGGGCTAATTGCAGTTACAAACAACATAAGGAAAAAATGCAGTGGTATGTGAGACTATATCTACGTCTAGCATTATACTATATTCTACAACATGCATGGTACTAGATTAACTGGGTTTGACTTATTCTTTTTAGGCAATGGAAGACGAATTTATCCATTATAATAGACTAATTCTGAAGTGTATCACACTCACCCTGTACAGTGGAGAGGCCACCCCGACCGCCCCGACCTTGTTGTGGATGTTGGTGAGTCCCATGGTGCCTTCTGTCATTCCTGTAGTCATACATGTGGACTATGTACATTTCATTTATACATACATAATTATGTTTATTGAAGGAAAACATATTGTTTTGCTCCGTTTCTTCCTCTTCTTCTGTTCCAAACACTAACCTCTGACCTGGCCAATGACATGATTTGTTGACGTCTGTCACCATGGTGACTGGCGTTGGGTTACATAATGTTGCAATTTCATGGTCTGCTCTGCTCCTGTCACCATATACTCGTAGTACATGTAGTAAACTATGTGAATGTGTTTGAGTAAGAACTAACAGGGCAGACCATGTCCGAAGGTAAACATTATGCATTTGCTTTGCAAATGTTACTTGTCTAGTTTCTGTATGAACCCTGGAAGATTAGCCTTTTGGGCTAAAGGGCATTGAAATAAAAAGAATACCGTAGAACTCTCCGATCCGCGGGATCCCGAAGCGGTCCTGGAACTGCTGCCAGATGTCCGGCCGGAGACCGTTCCCGAACGCCAGACGCACGCTGTGGTCCCTGTCATCTGGGCGCTGTGTGTGAGAGGAACAAGTATCAGTGTTGTCTTGTCTTGTCTTGTCTTGTTCAGGTACTGCACAACACCCCTAGATTGGGGTAAAACGTGCAGGGGAGCTGTGCGATGCGTTATTGCTGCTTCCTCAGGTGTTGTAGTACTGCAGCGTTGAACTTCGTGGGTTCCGCAGTATCAGATATCTCTTGGGGCAATGTGATGTGAACCAAGTATATGTTTAAGGACTGCTCCACCCACGCACACAAAGGCCACGTTCCTGAACGCCAGTTTTGTTGTCTGGGCGCTGGGGTAAAAAATTGGAAAAGGGAAATTGTCATGACTTCAAGTTCAAAAGATACAAGACTAACAAGAGATATCAACCCAGGATTGAGGTGTTCAGGAGGTTTTTACCATCGTAGAGTGGAATTTTCTGCCACCAAGTACCATAGGGGACTATCATTACTACTACGTCACTAGAATATTAGCTTTAAACAATGCTTGGAGCAATATGTGCAAATGTCAGGAGTGAAAAGATGTTCAGTGTAGTATAGCCAGCTGTATGAAAGGTAAAAAGACAATTATGAGACAAAGGTCCCGTTCCACTCTATGCACCCATGATATCCATTTGCGTAGCCCTTGGGCGACACAAAGTTGTGCAATCACTGCAGCAGGGGGCTGGTCCGCTGGTAGTGCTGTGTGTTTGACCTCCCCACACTTTTTCTCATATGCGCTGAGTGCTAAGCAGAGAAAGAAGTGTACCATTTTTAAAGTCTTTGGTATGACCCGGCCGGGGTTTGAACTCACGACCTCCCGGTTACAAAGCGAGCACTCTACCAATTGAGCTATTGCACCTATTTAACACTGTTTTTTCCTAGCCCTGTAGTAAATGTAAGCTGTAATTGACTACATGTACAGTCTGATCCTTACCAGAGGAGCAGTACACAGATAACGCAGCAGCTCTCCGATGTAGAGAATAACAGTCGCCTTGTAACGTCGACAGTCGTCCCAAAAGTGGCGAACAGAAAACTTGCTCCTGAGAGCTAAGGTTGCACCTGCAAAACACAAGACTATACAGTCACAGTCTGCATCAGACAAACAGGATCAGTTTGGCACAAAATCAACCCACTAAAAACTGCAGCCATTGATCAGCCAAACCTTTGCTCGCAGCTCAACGAAATTCATCTATTAGATAAAGAACAACTCTAATACATTATTTTGTCCTGGTAACCTTCTCCCTACTGCCCAACCCTGCAACTAACAGAGACTTGTTAGCAAAACTTTGGTGATAATGAGTGCTGAAGGTTCTCATACTTTTGCACCATGCCTCATATTCCAATCATGAACCAAAGATCAAACAATCCAATTTTCAATGCTATATACAGTTTATTCAGTTAACACAAAGAATCAATGGAAAGAGGGTCTAGAGAAGAGAAGCCAACAGCAAAAATAAGAATTGATTGATTGATTGATTGATTAATCAATCAATTGATTGATTGATTGATTGACAGATGCCCACCTTTAGTAATAACAGTACTCAGCCCCAGTGCCAGCCCGCTGGTGTGGTACAGAGGTAGGAAGAGTGATTGATTGATTGGTTGACTGATTGGTTGATTGATTGATTGATTGATTGATTGACAGATGCCCACCTTTAGTGATAGCAGTCCCCAGCCCCAGTGCCAGCCCGCTGGTGTGGTACAGAGGCAGAGTGATGTAGAACACATCGTCGGGATAGACGCCAGCGTAGTGCATAATGGTGCTGCTGATGGCCACAAACTTCGCATGGGGGATGATGGCAGCCTTCGGGAGGCCTGGGGTGATGAAGAAAACAAGGGGTCAAAGATGTCACGCCTTCATGTTGAGTGTAGGTGAGACTTTAACTGAAAGAAACCTACAGTGGGGGTCGCTGGAAGACAGATGTAGAATGTCCAGACTATGCATGATGTACAAAATGACTAATAAACTGGTGGATGTACCAACCACTAAGTATCTGATAACAGCCCAGAAAAAAACAAGAAACAGTCATGCCTTCAAATATCAGAGTTATCAACCAAGAATTGAGGTATTAAAAAACTCGTATTTCCCCAGAACTATCGTAGAGTGGAAATTCTGAGAATTGAGAGAACTGTAGATGATGGTACTTACCTGTGGTTCCTGAGGTATAGATGTAGCAGAGTGTGTCTGTGGGTAAGATGGTGACTTTAACCGGCAGCGGTTGGTCGGATTCCCGCCGGACCGGTCCATCCAGGGCCGACATGCCTGCAGGGGGGGGAGCAGGACCCTGCAGCCAGATGGAGGCACCCTCCGCCTGCAGTTCCGGCTGCAGCTCCAAGGTGGCGTCCAGGAGCGGTTGGCCTGGGGGTCATGGTCAAAATTATGTTCTTGTATGAGGGCCTGCAAGGGGGGGTCCCGACAACGCCTTACGCTAAAATCGGAAACCTCTCGATTACGCTTTACGATAAATTTCAAGTGGGTACAATGCATTACGTAGAATTAAAACAGCGAATACGCTCTACGCAAAAATTTTAGAGCGGTCCATCTACGCTCTACGTAGAATTAAAACGGCCAATTACGCTCTACGGAAAAGGGCTTGCGGGCCCCCTTGTATAAGTTTGAGCTATCCATGAATATGATTCAGAGTTTGAATGTGATGGTATGGATAATACTGTTGCCTTTATTTCATAAAATGCGAAGGGGGGCGGGTTGAATACATTGATTAGGACATTATTTGCATAACTAATAAAGAAAGGTAATTCAAAGGTAAACAAAGGGTCACAATGCCAGCATTACAATCTCTTTCAGAGAGAGAGAATGGGCGAGGGAGAGAGGAAGGAAGGAAGGAAGGAAGGTTGAAAGGAAGGAAGGAAGGATGGGAGGAAGGAAGGAGGGAAGGAACGAAGGAAGGAGGGA